TTCCTTAATGTCTCTTACGTAGGAAATTTCGTGCTCATTTTGCTAGTAATTACCAATAATTATATCTTCGTGTGTAATCTTTAGCTTCGAGATAGCCGTTCAGAGAGATATTAGTATTTTATTTTACAAAAGTTTAACAAACCATTTCTATTATGGGAATACCATAACATAAGCTAATATATTTGTTTTGATAACACGAAGATAATTGTGATATATAAACCCTTTATTTTTTTTTATTTAGCTTTACGTGTCTTGACAGGGTAGGTTACTGAAACAGTTACAATTTTATTATATTATATTACTAGAATATACAGTATTGTTCTGAAGCTATTTTCTTGTGGCATTGTAAATTAATTACTATTTATAACTGGGAATAAGCCACAATTAAAGATAAAAATACGTTTATTGACGTTTCAATTTCCAATTCGGAAATCGTTCTCAAAATACAAACAGTAAAATAAACAAATTTTGTTTTTTGTTACATAGTGAAAAAATTCTTCTAATAATTTAATTTTATCTGACTCATTTATATTGACAATTCAGACATACATTATGCATTTTAAAGTAGACGACTTTAAAATGATATTGCCAATATTGTTGAGTTGTGCTCCTGGGACGACTTTACTTATAAGATAGTTCATTCGATTACATGAAATCAACTTTAACTTGAGAATATCCGTCAGAAAAAATCATAGCATGTAATTCGTCTTTAAAAAGACAAACACATGACATGATGACAGTAAAATTCTCCTGTTAGTGATTCCATAGTAAATTATGAGGGAAAAACCAGGAAAAAAACCTCATAATACTATCCCGACATTGTAAGTATTTATTTGTTTGTGAATTTAGTTTACCTTCAACAAACATCAAAAATTCTGATTTTATATGTTACGTTATTTAAAAAACATAAATGATCTATCCTCTATATGTTACTGACTTACTAATACTGGTATTTTCTTATTAATAACTTCCTCTTTCAATATTGGTAACCAGATCCTACTACATTCTGCCGAGGAATTTCAATTGGCCTCAACACAATTGGCCTCATTTAGCAGAATTAGAGCCGTTTCTTTGATTTTTCTTTTTTTACCATCCGTTTCTTTTAGGACTATATTTGAATTATTCCATTGAACCCTATGTTCATTATCCCATGCGTGTTTACATATTTGAGATCTATCAAATTCTCTATTTTTAATATAAGATTGATGTTCACTTATTCTAACATTTAATGGCCTTGATGATTCACCTAAATAAAACTGATCGCATTCACAAGGTATTTTATAAATGCAATTCTTTGTCCTTTCTTGTTCATTGTTAGGTTTGGTTTTGGACACAATAAATCTCAACGTGTTTGTTGTTTTGAATGTTGTTGAAATGTTGAATTTATTTCCTATCCTTTTAAGTTTTTCTGATAATCCTTTTATGTACGGTATTGTTATTTTCCTCATATTATTCCTTGTGTATGCCGTAGGATCTCGTTCTAAGTTGTTCTGTTCTATTCGATCGATTGTTGAAAATTCCTTATTTGTAAACGATAAAGGATAATCATTTTTTAATAAAACAGATGTTAACAAATGTTTCTCCTCAAAGAACGAATTTTCGTTAGAACAAGTAATTTTGGCTCTATCGTATAAGGATTTAATTATTCCCTTTTTTACATTAATATTGTGATTTGATTTGAAATTTAAATATCTATTGGTGTGTGTTGGCTTTCTATACACCTTAAAGAGAATAGTGAACATCAATCTTATATTAAAAACAGAGAATTTGATAGATCTCAAATATGTAAACACGCATGGGATAATGAACATAGGGTTCAATGGAATAATTCAAATATAGTCCTAAAAGAAACGGATGGTAAAAAAAGAAAAATAAAAGAAGCGGCTCTAATTATGCTAAATGAGGCCAATTGTGTCGCAAATTCCTCGGCAGAATGTAGTAGGATCTGGTTACCAATATTGAAAGAGGAAGTTATTAATAAGAAAATACCAGTATTAGTAAGTCAGTAACATATAGAGGATACATCATTTATGTTTTTTAAATCACGTAACATATAAAATCAGAATTTTTGATGTTTGTTGAAGGTAAACTAAATTCACAAACAAATACTTACAATGTCGGGATAGTATTATGAGGTTTTTCCTGGTTTTTCCCTCATAATTTACTATGGAATCACTAACAGGAGAATTTTACTGTCTTCATGTCATGTGTTTGTCTTTTTAAAGACGAATTACATGCTATGGTTTTTTCTGACGGATATTCTCAAGTTAAAGTTGATTTCATGTAATCGAATGAACTATCTTATAAGTAAAGTCGTCCCAGGAGCGCAACTCAACAATATTGGCAATATCATTTTAAAGTCGTCTACTTTAAAATGCATAATGTATGTCTAAATTGTCAATATAAATGAGTCAGATAAAATTAAATTATTAGAAGAACTTTTTCACTATGTAACAAAAAACAAAATTTGTTTAATTTACTGTTTGTATTTTGAGAACGATTTCCGAATTGAAAATTGAAACGTCAATAAACGTATTTTTATCTTTAATTGTGGCTTATTCCCAGTTATAAATAGTAATTAGAATATACAGTAACATTAAAATCGATAAAGAAATACGTTAAATATTGGTACAATTATTAATTATTAAATCTAAACTACGTTTTTTATTCTAAATTTCCAGGTGAAGCCTGGTTTCATAAAAAAAATTAATAAGATGTTGGAATTGATCTTCGAGCTGAGAATATTTGGTAATTTTGTAGGTTTTGATTAAAAAACTTCTTTTTTCTGTTCTTGTTGAAACGGGGAAAGTCTACGTATAACAGATAGAAAATTACCACAGTGTATACATGTAAGTGGATATTAGGAAGTCTTGTCGGCGAATCAAGATTTTGGTTTTTCGTGTCATAATGTTTGGGAAACACATCTGTAAGATGAAAGAAATACACATCTGTAATATATAAACAAACTCTAAAATGTGTTTATTATGGAGCTCGGCGACGCAAAAAGAATTGAAATAATATTTCGGTGTCTTAATACGTACGATAGAAAATGAAATACATTGAAAATAATCTTCGGTGTTTAAACATATACGAGGGGATTGTAATATATATCAAAGTATTTTAAATTCCTACATACTGTAATGAAATCTAGCTGAATTTTTTGGACAACTTTAGCTGAATTTCACTCGTTGGTGAAGATTATTGCCGATTTCGAGTTTTCAGGCTCAAGCCAATCTTCACGTTTGTGTCTTGAAGTGAATGTACCTTTCTTCAGAGAAGTCTTGATTTCAAAAAGCCTATGACATATATCTGTTACCAAAATTATGGTCCTTGTCGCATTCAAAAAAACTCCTATCAGTGGTTTTACACGTATAGAGGGGGTTTACACGTATCCAGTGCTGGCATTGTAGTGGCATCATGTTTACACTTTTTTGTGCCACTCCAGCGCTGTCTCGAATAGAGAGCTGGTCTTAGTTTCATAACAGTAGCTCTCGTCTGCATACTCTCTAACCCAGTTGTCCACCCAGGGGGGATTTTAGGGGTTAAACCCCTTCACTAACTATGGGTAACACACTAAATTTTTGGATGTAGATACAACACTGGCGCAGCTTATTGTATCAACTCAGTGTGTCAACACTATTGTGTCATATAACGGCAGTAAGCCATTAGCACTACATACTTGCAAGTTTGAAACCTTCGCTAATGCGTATGTCGTCAATAGAGAGTTATTGCAAACACAGATTTTATTCTTTTATTTTGACGAATAAAATTAAATATTTTTGTATATATAAAAATAATCTATTAGCTATAAATTGTATTTGTTATCTATTATAGGATCCTATAATAAAAATTAAAATAAGATCATTGAAAAGTGTAAAACATTGAATTCAATTATTTTCTTATTTAAATAATGGGTACCATAACCTATAATATTCGTCGTACAATATGGAAGTGCAATTATTAGAATTAGTTATTTTAGGAGTTGTTACATACTTTTGCATATTATGGGTACATAAAATAGGGAATTTATGGACATTGGCTTATTAGGAAATAGTTAATATCCAGTTCTCAACTACCATTGGAGAATCTTCAGGCAGCAGTTCGAAGTGCTGTATAATCTATTATATATGAATATATTTTAAAGAGATTTGCCATTGTGAAATAAGATGTAAGTTACCTTTTGTTTAAAGAATAATACCTAACAGGTTGTTCAATTTTACATAACATTGTAGTTAATAGAGAAAACATGGAAATACTGGCAAATGAGGGTGCTGTTGATGTTTGAGTGTAGTACTTTTGATTGAAAACTTTTCATTTCTAAATACTAATCTATAAGCCATTAGAATTTCAATAATTAAACCTTTGTTTTATTGTGTTTATATTTTTAATCATTTATGTTGGATATTTGTTAAATGGAATAAGGTGAAATGGGGTATACGTGATAATGGGGCAATTGTAATAGTGCATTTAAAAATGGCTATTTAAATAATTACGAGTGTGCCACCAAAGAATATAGACGCTTATAAGCGTCTATATTCTTTGGTGCCACCTATTAGATGGGACCTTAAATATGTTAGTCTAGTGAGCCACCACTAGAAACTACGTAAATCCAAAAATAGATTTTAGTTGAGTAGGGATAGCCGACGAGTGTGTTCGAATTCAACACAGAATTTGTTATACATTTACCCCGTTTGTGAAGTATTATATTATTTTTTCGGTAAGTAAGACTATTATTATAATTTTAATTGACATAGCAGTTTATTCTAGTTTGGGAGAATATTATGGTGTAGGTTATTTAAATAAAAACTTAACATTAACCTCAAATTTTTGTTATAACACAATTGCCCCTTCAAATTTTGTTGTTGGGGTAAATGTATTATTGCAGATTGGGGCAAATGTGTCATTAGTATATCATATTTACCCCGTTTATATAACTCCTTGAATTTAAAATATTTAAATAGTGGCAAGTTTTACAAGGTTTATTTTTTGTTATAGATACCATGGTTCGCTGCTATAAAAGAAAAACTTCAAATGAAGGCAAATATTCGGCAGCTATTTGCTGCCGAATGCTGCAATGTCTCAACGCTGCAATGTCTGATGTTTTAGCAGCTCGAACATCAATTTATAAGGCAGCAAAATTATACAAAATACCATATGTGGCCCTACATTCCCGTGTAAAAGGTAAACGAAGAGCAGTAAAAGCAACTACAGGACGTCCAACGTCAATTTCTACTGCTGACGAAGCTTGATTAGCCAATGGTCTAAAAACGATGGAGAAATGGGGATACGGTCTATCAAGGAAAGAAGTATTAGAAATTGTAGGAAACTTTGTAAAGACTAACCATATTGAAACTAATTTCAAGGATGAAGTTCCAGGCGACGATTGGTTTTTGGGGTTTAAACAGAGGCATAGATTAAGTATTAAAGTTCCAAAAAAGGTGGAATACTCTCGAAAAATGTCTCTTGATCCTTTTATAATATACCAGTTTTATGATTTATTAAAATCAATAATAAACGAATATGGTCTTCACGACAAACCTGAGAGAATCTGTAATTTGAACGAGAGTAGTGCATTGACCCCAGGAAGACAAAAGTTGTGGGAGGTATAAATATACCTTTAGAGTAAAGTACCTGTAAAGAAAATACCACAATTGCTCTTGTGTGTAATGTAGTTGACCAGAATGCTCCACCATTAATAATTTATACAGGTTTGCACTTATGGGATCAATGGATAGCTCCACCAGGTATGGATTTTGAGGGTACTGTTTATGCAACGACAAAAAAGGTTGGATGGAAGAAGCCGTTTTCAAACATTACTTCATAAACACTATAATTCGATCACTCCCATCTGAAACCAATATTGATTATTTATGATGGACATTCCACTCATATGAATATCGAGACGTTAGAAGCCGTTATGCGAAAACATATTATAATTCTAAAACTGCCACCCCATTCCAGCCACCTTTTAGAGCCACTAGACCTGGCTGTTTTTAAATCCTTTAAAGTTAAATGGAATGAAAAATGTTGTGCCTGGCAGCGGCAGCAAGTAGACCAAAAATTACGAAAACAAATATTTTCCCAATTTTTGTGTACAACTCGGAAACAGGTGAACTGCGAAGTAATTATCAACGGCTTTAAAAAATGCGGAATTATTCCTTTTAATCGTCACGTAATTCCTGAAACACAATTTCCACCCTGCTTGCTTAATAAGTGGAAGATGATAAAACATTCCAGATTATCTATACGCGAAAATGGTAATGAAGTATTGGTATCAACTAAAGTAACTCAAGAAGTATTTTATCAAAACAAAGAACCTACGCCTAATGCTCTAATCCAAAATACCACTTCGAGTCGACGAACTTGAATCAATTCCATGTACAAGTTTAACTGAAAATAAGAATGTAACATTTGAAGATTTATTTTTATCAACAGTAAAACAACTTTCAAACGCACCAACCAAAAATAAGAAACGGTTATGCCCTGGATCTGAAGTATTGACATCACAACAAACTATTGATGTTTTAAACCAGAAATCTCAAAAAAAGGAAACGGTACTAAAATTCATAAGATAACTAAGGCAAAGCCCAAAAAAAGAAATAAACGAGAGTCATTATAATTTAGCAGCAGCGAAGACGATGAGTCAATGTCCCCAATATCCATGGATTCTGATAACACCGACGAGTTTCTGGATATACTTTTGGAATCAGAGCCAGAGGTAGAAATAGATGCAAATAATGACGAGGAAGACAAAAAGAATTTGAATTCAACCAAAAGTGCGAATGTATATGTCGGATGTTGGGCATTGGTAAAATATTGCCCATAAAAGAAATAACAAGCATTATGTGGGAATTGTAAATTGTTAAATTTACACGACCTCAAGGAAACAAATTGGTATGGCCAATAAATCCTGACATTGATACTGTACTACAACAGGATATTATAAAAATACTACCAGATCCTATGGTCGACAGACGTGGAATGTACGAATTTTCAGTTACCTTTAAAGGCTTTAACATTCAACATTAACTGAAAGAAAACTTGAAGTGTTTGTTTAATTTTATTATATTTTTGTTTCCTTTGTTCTGACATTGTTTTCGAAAAGTTTAAATTCTTTTGTATTTTTTCAATAAAATAAATTCTAAAAAAACACAAGTAGAGAGCTTTAATCACATTTTTATACAATAACCCCAGACTATCAAATATAATATTTACTACAAAAATGTAAACTTTCTTCATATTTGCCCGGTCCCTAGGGTAAATGTGATATATTGATATGATTTTAAAAAACATTATGCAACATTACCAACACTAAAGATTATTTAATTTTTTTCTACACAATGAATACAAAACCGTTCAAAGAGTATATGATTTTTTTGATAAATTTTTGAAACGTTTCCTTAAAGTGTTATATTAAATGAAAGTTGAACTAATCAAAAAGTAGATCACATTTACCCCACTTCACCTTACCTAAAAAACTCTATTCCACAATATCTGAAGCATTATATTTGTGCTTAACAATTTATTGAAATTAAATACACCTTACACATCTGCTTTAAGTTGCGTTGTCTTGTAAAAGCTTCTTTACACTATTGTTTTTTTTATTTTTCTTTAATAACATTAAATGTATTTTATTTCTCAATCTATAAACTATGATATACCTATTCGAATGTTCATCGTTTCCTGCGTTGCTCTATGTTCATTTCTTTGACTTTCAATCCTGTATACTTCTAGACATTGTCGTTTTCTCATATGTATATTTTCGTATAACTTTCCTAATTACGGAATTAAATATTGACAAGCGGTTTATTAAGAATAAATTTTTCATGGCGTCTATGAATTACGCAATATAGAAGGACACTCCGCTGGGAAATTTTGAGTAAAATAGACTTTTAAAGCGTTCCAGCTACGTTGACTGCTTATAAAAGAGACGTTTAGAAAAGCCACCATTATATCTGATTTTTCTCTAACGGCGTACTTTAAAGGGATGCTACTTAACCTAAACTGTGACCAATCTTCTTCAACCATTTAGCGGCAATAAATCTTCAGTTTTCAGTCGTAACCCCTTTTTATGTGCTATTATTTTCAAGCGCGTCTTTATTGTGACTAGGGATATTTCCTGTTATATTCCATTTTTGAATGTGTCTCTTCTGGATAAAATTTCTCGGATCATTTTCATAAACCCCTTTTTATACACGCAATAAAACATCCGAAGTGTTTCTATCTCAAGTAAAACCACCACGTAGCAAAAATATGTACTTACCCACAGCTTATTAAAAGATATTAATCTCCAAAAAACACCTACTACAAACACGCTAGTGTATTAAAGTCAGTTATTGATAAAATACCATATTCAAGCTCACGTTTTGTAAAAATGCGTCTGTCAGTGATAGTCAGCGGTTGGCACTTTGTGGAGTTCCAGGAGATAACGACCGTTGATATTTGAGACATATTCATTCTATTTTTACCCCTTCTCATTGTCAAGGTAACCATTCCCTGTTATTGTAGATATACATGCAAAATTATAAATCTCAAATTTATGTACCACTGAAAATTGCAGATTGGAATACATAGGGAGAAGTTTAAAATATAAAAAAAAAAGAATTGGGAAATATAAACCTGACTGTTCTTGCAACAAAACACAACACTACTATTATATGGGGTAATTCATGTAGACCTTACATTAAATTCATTATAGAAAATAGTGGGACTTGGAATCTGAAAATTTATACTTAATCTTCGCTGCTTCTTATTAATATTACCTTTAATCTTATTAATATTAATGTTGGCCATACAAATGTCAATTTTGGTTTTGGACACTGTAGCATAGTGTTGATCATAATAGTTCATCATGAAGAACGCTCATTTTAGATCAAATGTGAGAAGTATACTAGGAGGCTCTGTTAGGTTACTAGTTCATTAACACAAAGTTACATGAGATATTAATTTATACCTCAGCAAAACATAATATTGTTTTATCGTTTTCGTATAAGTTTATTTTTGATAACGCCGATTTTATTTTAAATTACAAAACGTCAAATAACTGTCAAATATTAAACACGCTTTTTAAAGTTCCTCACATATGTAAAAGATTTAAACGGTGTTAAATAGATAAACTCATTAAAGGTCAAGTTAACAATACAAAGCGAAGTGCTTCAACCACAATATGATAAGGAAACGAGTATCTCATTTGATTTGATATTTTAACACGTTGAGTGCAAGATGAGACCAACGTGGTCTCGTCCATTTCTCGGACGTAATTGCTGTGAGCTCTACATGAAAACTTAAAATAAGGGGAACAAGGGCTTTGGTATTTTATATTTCCGTTGCGTTAGGCGCTACAAAAAAACAATATGTATAGTAATGTTTTTTACAATTAGAGCACTTTAGTGAACTTTATGGACTTTTTCTTGAGGCCTTCTTGGAACTCGATTGTCCAGAGATCTTCGCTTAACAAATAACGCAACGTCTCTTATTAGCACAAACATCTTCAATATATGTGAGGCTTCCTCGGACTCTTCATTATTTGGTGTAAAATCTTCACCTTCGCGCAATAGTCCCTTTACAGCTTCCTCTCTAAATTTAGTAATTGACGTTTACAAGACACGTTCCCGTTAGGAGTTCCAACGCCAGCTTTCTGTATCATTTTAAGCTTCGCCTTAAGGAAGTACTATAGGCTTTCACTTGATCGGATAGATCAATAAATGCCTTACATTTATTATAATCTATAACTATTTTTGGCTTCAAACTGTCTTGTTCTCTTTTCTTCACTAGAACCATCTCAGCCGTGTGTTTAGTACTTAAACACAGAATATCGCGTTTATCGCGCCATTGTTGTACCACAATTCCTTCCTTACATTTAGCAGCAGCAGCCGTTTCATCATTTTTAAGTTTTTTTTTAGTAACATTTTTTGGGATAAATTTTCGGTTTACACGTAATGTTTCTACAAGATGGGTATTTCGCCTTAATAATACCAATATTTAGTTGAATATATTAAAGCAAATTGGTGAAAAAGTTTATCTACAAAATATTACTTTTTCATCTCGCGTTTCGAATAATCCAACCAGCATTTCTGCCATATCTACCGACATCAATGATTCAACGTCAACTATCGTCAACGTCAACTATCAACGTCATAATTCATTCCACCGTCGTACTCGCAGGTTTATTTCTCCAAAAGAATCCTTACGTCAAATGTATTTGTTTCCATCTCGCATTCACTAATCAAACAGTCTCTAAAAGATATTA